TTTCATCCTGTTTTCGTACAAACCGGGTCGGTCCCCGCTCCCCTTTCTTGTTTTGGTTCAAATCAGGGCCGGTCTGCACTCCCCTCTCCTTGTTCTCTGGCGGGGTGCCGAGCGTGGGACAGAGTCTTGTTTTCCAAAGGCTAAACTGATTAATGGCTCGAGGCTGGCAGAATGGCGCGTTTCGGTATGCTATTTGTTGGCTTCAGATCCGGGTTCTCATGAAGTGGGGTGGTCATCTATAGAGGACCCCTGTTTGTCAGAGCCTACTGCGCCGTCTGTGTGGACGGCAGCTGGGACGGAGAGAGGGTATCACAGCCGATTTAGCCGGCTGACCGTGTCTGTGCGGCGCTCGCAGATGGCCGTGTTTCAGCTTGTGGCACAGCTTGCAGTTCAGCATGAAAGATGAAAAAAATGTAACGCATCTGCGTTACACATACATATTGTTGCGGACGGAAAATTCACTGACCAGGCTCAGGGCTTAAACACTCTGCTCTCTTGACCTTCGAATCTATTTGACCTCAGATTCGATCACGACACGAAATTCACGAGCGATCCACGAACGATCTCCCGACATGACCTTTCAACGAAGAATGGGGGCCAGAAGCCCGCGAAAAGAGACGCATTTGAGCCCCCTTCAATCATTGGCGAACAACTACTACGCGTCCGATTATAACCAATCAGGACAAGAGTAACAAACGACGAAAAATCTACCGAAATGTAAACAAAAAGAGCGACATAACCGGCGCAATGACACAAATAACTGGCGCAAGCGTTGCCAAATGCAGCCATATTCTTTACAGTAGTACATTTTATCTACTCTAGGACTCGGTACTCAGAGCACCTAGATGGCACCACTATCGGCCCAGCAGTGGGCACCACCATCCAAGCGGATAGCCCACAGCCGCAGCAGTCGACAAGACGTAATCCGTAACACATATCAATATAATTTACCTTATTGATTAGTGTGAGTCTTACAAAATCTTAAACTCAGAAATACCACAAGGCAGGCTGCCTGGGTGAGTTGCTAATATGAACATAATGAACATTATACATTAGTGCAGTACCTATAAGTATCCATGCTGTGTGAAGGACTTGGCCCTCACGTTCATTCGTTTGGTGATTGCACATGGTGGCATGTGTCCCAATTGTTCTCCCTAACCCTTCTTACAACTTTGACTAGCAAGTAGAAGCTGGCAAAATGCAAGGAGCTTACAAAGTATGCTTATATGTAGATAACTGAGGATGATTCTCTCAATTGAAGCATGATCCGCACTCAACAGCTTCTTCTGTTCTGTTCCACAAACTAAAAATGAAATGCCTCAATTTTCCTCAAAATATATTCATTTATCACTCATAAACAACAAAAATATACATTAAGTAGGTACCAGGACAATAAAAAACATACAAGTTACATATTCTTTCATGTACCGTCCTTTCACAGCAACGATATGTAGAAACGCACCAAGACGTTCACGGAGAGCCCACCCATAACAAACTATACTCGTAGTTGAAGCCGGGGCTCTGCTGCAGCAGCACTAGCAGGGGAGACGTACAGGGCACAGAGGTCAAGTCACAACATCATGTTGTACGACCTGTTGTTCGAAAAACAGATCAACATAGATCTTGAAAAACTGTAGCGCTTTCTTCAGTCACTTAGGTAAGCTTTCTCGCAAGACGTTACATTAGATTCACCACTCTTGACAAAATAATCAGATTCAAACTTAGCTCTTGTGCCTGATGCACTTACATTTCAATTTATTGAAATAAAACACTCAAATTTACCCTTGAAAATTGTTGACATTTAAATGATATTTACATCAAGATTTTGATGATCAGCAAACAAGCTATTCAAATCACACCCAAATAATAACTTTGGCAATGTTGATAACTCTTGCTGTCTTATTGAAAAGCAAATCTTCAATTTGTTCATATCCAAATCCAATGCCAAGCACTGAAATCTTGTTGCAAGGCTCTAAAAACAACAGACAAAAACAAAACAGACAATGGAAAAGTCTTGCGGAAATCGCCAGTGCGGTGCGGCGGCCTTGGCGAAATTTCCCAAGGCTGATCTTTATTTACATTTTAGCGATGGGCCAACTTGGCCGCCCAAGTAGGGGAAGGTGGGGTAAGACGGACCAGCTAAGGTTTGAGGCCGCATATCTTGCTACACTGCTCTCGTAATTCATATTATTTATAGTCTTCGGAATGCTCAATCCTTCCTCTGTTGATATGTGTAAAGACTAAATTTCAAATTAAAGACATCTAGGTGGTGGATGCTCTTGAAGAGGGACATGTCAAAAACTCAGACAAGAAAAAACGTGGGGTAAGACGGACCACCCAGCAGTGCCTGCTATCCGTTCATGTGTGTTACACTTCTGCTCTGTACTCTTGTAAGAAAAATTAACCAGAATGGTAAAATAACGAAATGAGCCTTTATTCTTTACTCATGTGTGATGGAAGTGCAGCTAAACGCTGGGAACATGTGTGTTGATTATCGTTTGGCATGAATGCATGCTAACTGAGCACTTGCTTGCATGGCTCACATGCAACAAAGACTCCTTCCTGAAAAATTAGCTTACTTAAACTTGTGTCAATGTTTTGGAAAAGAACTTTCCATATGCAGGGTACAATGGACCACCACAGGGTAAGATGGACCACAGTGGTCCGTCTTGCCCCAAATCTAAATTCTGTCATTATCATGAAGTATATGTCAAATAGCCCAACATTGCAAAACCTTGCCTTTCCTAAAGTGTGACTATAACTAAGTTTATAACTTTGTTCTTCACAGTAAAGTGCAAAATAGAAACTAATAATGCAAGAAAGGCGCCGTAATTGAATCACCCGCAGACCTCTTATATTAAATCGGTTTGACGAAAAACAACATTTTTCTCAATAACTCAAAAGCTATGCATCCTAGCAGCATGAGCTCATGGTGGCCATTGTTACGAAGGAAAACAAACACAGTGAGTGCATAAAGCAGTAGATACCAGCAGCGGTTCAGCCGGGAGGGCTGGTGGTCCGTCTTGCCCCGCTGGGCCGTCTTACCCCACCTTCCCCTACTTGTTTTGCGTGAGTAAGTACAATTTTGTCAATTTTGAAACGGCTATATCTCGCAAATTTTGGTACCGATTTACATTTTATGCATATCGTTAGAATCGGCAGAGTCTGGGGAGTTCATTGATTGGAAATTTATGCCGATTCCTTTCAATTTTTAAACCCTGATAATCCCTTTAATGAAGTCTACAACTGTACCTTCGTTTTTTTCTTGCAAATATGAAAAACAGAGAGATAGGGAGTCCCGAAAGGTAGGGTGGGCCCTTTGCCCCACCCTACCCTACTAACGTTTACTAATCTCCAAAGCTTGTCCAAAGCCACAGCATCGGGGAATCGATTTCTGCTTTCTTTTTGCAAAATGAAAAATGCGAAACGCCAACGGTTTTTGAAAATAATTTAACTGGTAATACATTCAGAATTTTCATAACCTAGCATGATATTATTATGTTGATATTCGGAAAAACCGTAAATTAACTTTTGATTTGAAGTTTCGTAGAGAAGCTCCGATTTCACGCGATTCAAATATAGTGATAGTTGCGGAATCTAGTGGGTTTTAACGTAAAAATAGTATAAAAAGTAGGTGAAATCCTAGTTTCAACATTAAATTACTCGTGACTCAGACCGAATTTCGAAAATCTGATTTCAGTTTCGTAAAGTGGAGTGCTGGTTCTACCACAGATCAAATTTTGTATTTTAGCTGACAATCTACCTTTAAGCAAAAAAAAATCGGCTCTTAACCCTCGCCCATGTAGGGGGGCTTGTGCGACCCCCCCCCCCCCTGAGGTTTTTCTTAGCTACACGCCGAACCGTTTCAGATAGCCTGCTCAAATTTTCAGCACCCTATGGGGTATCCTTTGCGCAACTTTTGTTTTTGTCAAGGTCATGTCAGGTCACGGAGTTATGACGTCATAAAGGGAACAACCTCCGGCCAGATTTACGCTAAATTGGAGATTGCTTCACATTGTTATAAATGCCGACTGACCTGACACACTGATGGATTGTTTTAGAATCATAACTGGCTGATTTGACATTGGCACAATGTCCGTTGACCTTTTCAAGGTTACTAAAGGTCAAGGTCAGGTCAGTGACCTCGGTTGACCTGTAATGACTTATTGCACTTGTATGCCTTTTCGGGGTATTTTGATGCCCTGAATTCGAATTTGCTATCCATTTCAGGCATCGTCGGTTGTTTCTTGGAGTTCATTTTGGGTCAGGGTCAGGTCAGTGACGTCACACGCCTGACGTGACCCAATGCACAAATGACCTTGCAGACTTCCGATGCTCCCAACGCATCATTTTTAGAGTTATGACATCGAAATACACACCAAACGATAGAGAATTGATCAAGGATCACGATAGTGAAGGTTTCAAGTCGATATCTCTTACCGTTTTGCCGCAATCGGCGCGGAAATCTGAAAAAGTTAGATTTTTCCGAAAATTTGACCTTTGACCGGTCATAAGTAGGTCAAATGTTGACCTAGGACCAAAAAATATACCACCAATCGCGAGATCTCGTTGAGAGCAGAGAGTTTTCAAACGCCAGAGGGGGTCGCACCAACCCCCCCCCCCCTGCATGGGCGAAGGTGGCAAAACACCGTTTACGGGCGAGGGTTAAGATCCGCCTTGTTGAGAGCTTTCGGTTGCCGTTTTCCCCGTCTTTCTACGACCATCGGTTCGGAAGTTAGACAGAAGGAGGCAGAATCTGCCCCCCCCCCCCCCCCCCAGCAGGGCGCGTATGGCTGAATAGCCCAGCAGGGCGCGGGTTAATGATCACCCGGTATCTTTATCCTGTTAGGTTTAGAGCTATGCGACATTTCTTTGTTTTTAAACATTTAAGACGTGCGTGCTTTTACACATGTTGCATTTGCATTAACTGATTCGTTTTTCACATCACTGTCAAACAAAGTGGCTATTGATGTAGTGGGCGCCGTGCGCTTGTCGCTCACCTGCGGGCCATCTGGGCAGTGTGTGTCTGTCTGGTCGGCTGGCCGCTGAGTCGACTGGCTGCGCCACGGTGCCGGTCTGCCGGTGTTGTTGGCCGAGACCTTGTGCGAGTGGGCTCGGTGCGCCGCTATCAGCTCTGTGGTAGCCTCTCGAGCCGCGCCACCCGCGCCCCACGCGATAACGGCCCGGCAGACGGCGTTACCGCCCTCCGGTCTCCGCACGCCCGGAATGCCGTTCCGTAATGACGTTCAGGCATATCTGAGGGAGAGGTAACGTAGCAGAGGATCGTAAAGTAGGAAAAATTGAGCATTAAACTTCGACCGGGTGGGGAGGGGCGTTTTTAGCCACACCGCCCAGTTTTTTTTTTGCGTGTGAAAAGAAAACTGCGACGCGCAGCGCCGCGGAACGATACGTCAATTTCGCATCGTGTGTAAAATTTTTGGCCTAGGTCACTGTTGTATCGTCAGCTTCGGCTGCCCTTTGCGTACTATTAACCCGGCGGCCGCTGGGCCTCCGCGCCACCCGCCGGCCGCTGGGGGGGGGGGGCATATAGTTGCCCCCCCTTTACTTCTGCGACGATATCGTCGCAACGCGAAGAGATAGAGAAGCGAAACTTTGCACACATCTTTCTGAATACCTAGCCGATGTTGTGTCCGAATTTGGTGTCGATCCCATTTGAAATGACGTCACAGTGACGTCATAAGTGAAATTATAGATTTGCGACTCTCACATTCCTCACGATACATCAGATATATGGGACCGAATATAAAGGGTCGATTATTGGTCAGAAACTAGATGGAAGTGTAGTTAGATGTTTTAGGATGACAGCAGGTGCTGTCTAGTTCATTTACAGTTTAGTTTCATGCTCAGCGTCATCAGAAACGGTCCATATCGGAAAACGACAAAACTTTATGACGTCACTGTGACGTCATCTTAGATGCTACAACCACCAAACTTTCCTCAAACATTGCCTAGGTATTCATTTGAAGCTATGCCAAGTTTCACGCTCGTAGCTCATCAGGTTTCGGAGATATTTTACAAAACGTAAAGGGGGGGGGGCAACTTTATGCCACCCCCGCAGCGGCTCGTGGGTTAATCTCCGCTTCCACTTGCTTTATTCCAAATCCAACACGTGGCACACTCATCCAAGGTTCGGCCATTACTCCCCCGCGCACTACCCATAATGCATCACCGGACACTACCCATAATGCATCACCGGACACTACCCATAATGCATCACCGGACACAACAGTCACACAAGCTCAGGTCACCAGGTAAAGTGAAGTGACCAAGCTTAAATAAATGTGATTCTTACATTCCTAAAGATTATATCTTAGAAGTTTGAAACTCAGACTATTGCATGATGCATAGATAACATGAATTTACCTGGATTTGACACTCGTTTTTGGCGCAAAAAATAAGACGTCACTTTGGCCTCTTATTTTTAATGACGGATTTTTAATCAGTATTTTGAGAGGCTGATGAGTGATACCTCAGCAACCGCTGGGCCGATTCGCCTGCGGTCTTTTTTTGTTGGGTAGCTCCATCTTTTCTGCCACGCAATGCACTTATCGTGGTGCATTCAGGTGACCGTCGTGGCACGTGGCACGTGAAAAGTCGGGGTGTTCAAGTTGTTCTGCTGGAGTAACAATTTTGAGAGGCCTATATCTCAGTAACCACTGGGCCGGTTGACTTCCGGTAACTTTTGTAGAGTAACTGTATCCCTTCTAACAAACATTGGATGCTCTTGGTGCACGTGAGTGACCCCCGCTGCACGTGCAAAATGCAAAAAAAAAAAAACAGAAGAGATGTTAAATTTGTTCCCATTACAGTAACTCGGCAGCTACTGGGGCGATTTCGCTGAGACTAGGCATGCATGTAGGCACCCACCGGGCAATGCATATCCGTATGCCATGGTTGGGGTGCTATTGCACGTCCGCACGTGCAGGGGTCGCTTCCAGATCTCGAGAACGGCAGGACCGATTGCGCTCAAATTTGGTACACGATTATAGACCGGTGAGAAGGATGCCGTGCAAAAGTTAGTTGGGACCCATATTGCACGTGCGCACGTGCAGGGTGCCGCTTCCAGATCTCGAGAACGCGTGGGCCGAATGCGCTCAAATTTAGCACCTCGCAAGACCAGTAAGTAGAGTGCCGTGCACCGGGGAGGTTGTAGCTCTGCACGTGCTCACGTGCTAACGTGCACACCCCTCTGGCCCTCTGTCATATCTCAGGAACGGAGTGACCGATTGCAATGAAATTTGGTGTATGATTGGGTGCTGGATGTGTATGAGTTTTTTCTAAGTCGATGAATGCGAGGTAATGCACGTGCGCACGTGCAGGGGTCGCCTCCAGATCTCCAGAACGGCTGGACCGATTGCGCTGAAATTTGTCACACGATTAGAGACCGGCGAGAAGGGTGCCTTGCGAAAGTCAGTTGGGGCCCATATTGCACGCGCGCACGTGCAAGATGCCGCTCCCACGTCTGAAGAACGGCTGTGTCGATTGCGCTCATATTTGGCACATCGCAAGAGACCAGTAGGTAGGGTGCCGTGTACCGAGGAGCCTGTAGCTCTGTGCGTGCTCACGTGCGCACGTGCATACCCATCTGTCATAGCTCAGGAACGGACTGACCTATTACAATGAAATTTTGTGTGATTGGATGCTGACTGTGTACGAGTTTTTCTAAGTCGACAAAGGTGTGATAATGCACGTGCGCACGTGCACACCGCACACCCCATATTTACAGCTAAAAACGGACAAGCCGATTTCAGTAAAAGCTGGTGTGCGATTCGGAAATAACAAACTGCATTTTTGTGTCCTCCAGCACTGAATATGCACGTGCGCAAGTGCACACCCAACAATAACAGCTGAAAAGCTGAAGGCCGATTTCGATCAAATTTGCCGTGCGATTTTTTGCATGTCCGGAGTCACCGGTATTGTATTAGGTAATCAACGGATAACTGATAATGTGCATATACAAACACACGTGTAGGTATACACCGATCGGTGGCACCGCCAAGCAGGAATGGCTGGAAAAGGATTCGCAAGTTAGTATTGTTAGAGTGAGGACAGTTAGTGTTAAAGGTTTGTGAGGGAATGCTTGACGGTGCCAATCAATCAATCAATATGACAACCAGCGCAGTCAGTGGTCCACATCTGGGCGCCATCGCTCGGCCCGACACAAGGCTATCTCAGCCCCCAACAGGCCGAGGCCCACCACCTCAGACAGCCGAACGCACCAGATATCACACCCGTTATCGGCCCGTGTCCAGGACCAGAGACAGCCGCAACACAAATTCCATCATTGTGGCCCATGAGCGCCCGCAACCACACGCCATCCTGGCCGCGGCCAGCGGTTCAACGTCCAGGCGCAATAGCCCAGTCCCGATGTTATCCCTGACGGCGTAGGCCCGTCGTCGACAGTCAAATGGTCCGGTCGGGCGCAGCCGACCGGACACCGAACTCGACCGGCCGTCACGCCCGGCCCAGGCCAATCCTAGTTTGAGAGGCGCAACGTCATTGTTCCTCGTAGCGGCACCAGGGGGCCGGTAGTCGCATACCATCCAGGCCACGGGTAGTGTGTCCTAGGCCGCCGCACTCCCCAGCAGGCGGAGGCCCGCCGCCGCTGGCAGTCGAGCAGCCCCAAGGGGTCAGGATGCCGCTGCCGACAGCCGAGCGGCCCCCAAGAGTAGGACGCCATCCAGGGGGAGCCGCATCGCATCTGCCATCCGCAGCGGCCCCCGAGCGCCGGCAGCCGCACCTCCTCCACGCCGCCTCCCACGGCCCACGTCCGAGGGCAGCCACAGGCCCCGTTGTAGGTCGCCAGTCCTCGGCAGTCGAGTGCTCATCGCTCGGGTCGCCCCCAGCAGTCGGGTGGCCCCCAGCAGGCGGCCGCAACGCCCGACCGAACCGCGGTCAGAAGCGCAGCAGCCCGGCTGTGGAGCGGGACAAATGGCGAGAGGACGTTAGGCTGATGGTCAGTCACAACATAGGTCGGGAAGATAGGTTTTGGGCGCGAGAATCAAATGGCCACCGATAGTAAGCTACAAAAGAATTTGGAAATCATAATAAGCTCGCTGATTGCCAATTAATGACGTCTGAGAGCAAGTGCAGTGTAGAAAATAGATATGCACAATTTAATTAGGGGCAACAACACGGCAGGGTAAAGGGCGCAGAGTTTCCTGAGGCCTACCGTGCTGTGCAAAAATCAGGTGTTGCAATAACTAAGCAGCGGGTCGACTGCGGAATAGCTTATCCTAAAAGAAAAGAAAACGCACATACGTAGAGGAGTTATGACAAATGGAGGTGAGGGGAACGAAGCAATGAAGTCTTGTTAATAGGATTCTGTAAAGATTAGCTTAAGACACTTTTTAAACAGGCATTTACTAGCAGGGATATCATTCATGTTTGGTATACGTTGTACTAAGATTTTATTCCAAACCCTGGGAGCTTGGTAAAATAAACTACATAAGAGATAGTTGAAGTGACGGTAATTTGGCAGCACCTCACTATCACTGGACCGGACCAGCTCGCAAAAGTGTTGGTTTACCCTCGTATTTCTGCTTGAGTAGTGGATCTTAAACTTATCAGCAATGGGGCGGGGAAGTTGACCAAACAAAAAGTCGTGCAATATAAGCAGCAACTGATAAGACAGTAGGTCAGCGATCTTAAGAACTTTTAGTTGTCTAAACCAAGGAGAAGTATGCGAAATACGTCCCGTTCCAGAAATAATTCGAATAGCCCGTTTTTGTACGATAACGATGGGATGTATAGCCGACTCATAGTTTGATCCCCAGATGACAAGGCAATAGGTGAGATATGGCAATATGATTAAGGGATAAGATACAAAGTGCATTGACTGTGTGCATCAGAATGGGTGTGAGTATGCACATATGAAGGTGCACAACCTATTGTTAGAGCTGAAAAACGGGCAGCGGCTGGTGGTGATCAGATTCGGGTCATAATCGATGGCGTAGCTCGCTCAGACTGGGTGACCGTACTCAGAGCCCTGTTCGGGCAGCGCATCCTATTGCAAAATTTTGCACCACGCATGCGCAGTTGGGGTCTCTCGGGTGCCAAGCTCCGCCCTTCGACGTATGACGTCACACGTGTGACGTAGGTTCGCGCAAAATCTTTCAGTTTTGCGCAAGAAGAAAATAGTAGCTGCAGGAGGCGAAAGTGGCGCGGATTTAAGTTTACCCCACAGGGGAGCACTGCCGCTTCAACCCTATTGGCCGTAGTGTCTAACGGTGGCGGCCATATTGCGCAGACCAGGAACCGGCCGCCGCCTGTGTTGAGGAATAGGGAATTCGGGACCTCGATTTACGTTTGCGGCCGCCGTATCCGTTACGTTCAAGTTACGTAGATACGGAACCCGGCATCTTACGCAGAATTGAGTGGGGAACACGATCGTATCTTCAGAATTCCTCAAATTCATTCGCCGGACCTACATTTGCCCCGGCCGAGGGTGTTGATTGAACCCACCTCGCTAATGCGCCGCTAATTAAACTAGAACTAAGTGGCAACGTGGTCGTATGCGGCAAAGTATAATGCAGAGTGACTGGTAGGAACCCTCTGTAAGGGTCTCAGGTCAACCGGTGACCTCTGAGGTCAGGTCAAGTGATCTAAGGCACGGGTTCGGTTTTTGGTAAATAACTTCGCCAAAAATGGCCGTAGAGCCGCGATTTTGGCATAATCGTGTTCAGCTAGCTCAGGCGCATCGAGTGATATGCTTTTTGTTCGGGTCAGGTCAACTAAGGGTGTTTACCTCAGGTCAAGGTCAGGTCAGCACCCCCAGGTCACGAAGTTGGTCGAAAGAGGTCATGTCGCATATCATTCGATTCGGCAGGTCTTCCTGAGTGCATTGGTGGCTTTCCCGACTCGCTAGCTCAATTTGATCGGGAGTTATTGAAGATAAATTGTGGCCCTTGTGACGTCACACATGACGTCACGCAAGGGCAACAATGCAAATATGAAGCATAGAACCTTGCAAAGAGTGCATGAAATCATGACTCTATATGCTTGAGATAGTTTCAGATCATTCTCGGCGCCAAAATAGCAATTTTCATATTTCCCCATTGACTTATAAGGGTTTAACCCTCGCCCGTAAACGGCGATCTGCCACCTTCGCCCATGCAGGGGGGGGGGGGGTTGGTGCGACCCCCCCTTGGCGTTTGAAAACGGAGCGTCGTAGAGCTTAGCGGAAAAGACCAACGGATTGCTCTCGCCGAGATCTCGCGATTGGTGGTATATTTTTTGGTCCTAGGTCAACATTTGACCTACTTTTGACCGGTCAAAGGTCAAATTTTCGGAAAAATAGACTTTTTTCAACTTTCGGCGGCGATTGCGGCAAAACGGTGGGAGATATCGACTTGGAATCTTCACTATCGTGTTCCTTGATCAATTCTCTATCGTTTGGTATGTATTTCGTTTCCCTAGCTCTAAAAATGGCGCGTTGGGAGCGCCGGAAGTCGGCAAGGTCACAGTCGGCGGCAGAAATTCGAAAAATCAAAATTTAAATTTTTGAAATCTGATTGTATTTTCGGATTTGGGAGGTCCATTTGCTCCCTATAGAAGCTAATATTGCTGCATATTCCCATTGAGGTGACAAGAATTAGCAAAATAGTGGTTCGGGCGCTTTTCAAAAATAGTACCGGACGCTGTTCCTCTTGTGACGTCATAGCTCCGTGACCTGACCTGACCCGGTCAAGTTTCTTATACCGTATGATAGCCAATACTTGCCCCAACATGCATGGGAAGTTTCATCACGATCCATCAACCGATCTCCGTACCACCGGCAGGAAACCTCGGGCGTTGGCACTCAGTTTGTGAAAATCCGGCCGGAGGCTGTTCCCTTTGTGACGTCATAACTCCGTGACCTGACATGACCCGGTCAAATTTTTTTTATCAAAAGATGCGCAAGGTTTGCCCCATAAGGTACCCAAAATTTGGCGGCGCTGCGCGCCGCCATTTTTGCACTATTCCCGAAAAACCTCAGGGGGGGGGGTTGCACCAACCCCCCCCCCTACATGGGCGAGGGTTAAAGGTAGTGTGCCAGCTTTCCTGGACCATATGGAGTTAATGACCCGGATAAGGAGAACCGGATTTTTAGAACTTATCCATACCTTCAAAACTTATGGAAACGTCTTATATTCTTCAAATTTTGAGTACCCCAGTGCGAAATTCGCCCCGACGGGTTGTCGGTCGTACCCCAACCACATTTCACACCACTATGAACAATAAATGCACACACTAAAATCGCTATTACCGATAGGCTCATCCAATCAAGTTTCGATAAACCCGTTCATCATCATCTCCTGCGGTTTCGAACACGCCTGTTAGGTGGCTTCTGATGCTCGTCGAGGTCGGAATTTCCAAATACGCGTGGTGCGTCGGGCCGCGCGCTCTGACTTCGGCCAAGAAAAATGCGTCAGCTAATCATTGTCATTTCTGCCACTTGCGTGTGGTGTAATGGGGTCATAACTTAAGAGACGGCTGTTTCATATCAATTATTTTTCATAAAATCATATTTCAAACCACAAATTAATGTTCGACAGCCAAATTTAAGAAACAATACCAATACAGGCTTACAGTTTAAGGCTCGACATTGTGTTGTCTACGATTAGACAGCTGATAACTTCCCGTACGTCGTATGGTCGTAACACTATAATGACCTTTGCTTATTGTCACAAGTGCGCCGCATTCGCGATTGTTGCCCGACGCCTGTTTGCAGGTGAGCCCACTACAGTTGTTATACATATCTAAAAACCGATAAACTTTTAGGCGAAAAAGACACTATTCCAGGCCCATTTTTGATTTTTTTTTGCGATATTAGGTAAAAACAGAAGCTTCTTATCCTAGGAAAAATAAAACGGGAAATCTTTCAAAGGTGGCACACTACCTTTAACGTATTAGTTCCTTACACCTGAGGATTTTTTAGGATTACATCTTGTTCTCCACTCAATTCTGCGTAAGATGCCGGGTTCCGTGTCCACATAGCTTGAACGTAACGGATGCAGCGACCGCAAACGTTCTTGGCAAACCCGTTGCCATAGACGGAGAGGCAGTAGCGGACGTGGGAAAGGACGAGGGCAGACACAAGGATTGGGAGAGTACCGGATGGTAGGTAGTGGCGGATGTGGGAGAGACCGATAAGGATGCCGAAGCACTTCTGTGACAGTTGCGATACGTGTGAGTCCCAAGTGAGATGGCGATCAAAAGTGACACCGAGATTTTTTGCTTCAGTGCAAGGTGATAGCACGGTTTGCCGAAACTTGACCGTGAACGGTGGGAGGTCTCGCAGATTTTGACGTGAGCCGATGGGAAGTAGCTCGAATTTTGACTCGTTAAGTTTAAGACCATTCGAATGAAAGTAATCACCAAGCGACTGGAGAGATGCCTCGAGTTTTAAGATAGGTCAGGTAGCTCGGACTTGTGTCCAGAGACTAAAACCTGGGTGTCATCGGCGTACTGAATGATAAAAGAGTCGCCAGCGTACAAGCTAAGATCGTTAACGACGATGCTGAACAAGAGAGGACCCAACGATGACTCCTGGAAGACGCCCTGGCTAATGTTGAGCGGAGGGGAGCTCTGTGAGGCAGAGATGGCTGCGCTTTCCGTGTGACCGTCAAGATAGTTTCGAAACCAGGCAGTGTCAATGCCGTGCAGCTCGAGCTTGTCAAGCAATTTAGAGTGGGAAATCACGTCAAAAGCTTTAGACAGATCAAGTAAACAGAGCAGAGAGATGTGGCCTTGATCCATGCCAGCAAGTGCTCGGTCAGAGATTTGGAGAAGGGCTGATTCGGTACAGTGATGTGGACGGAAGCCATGTTGGGTAGGGGAGAGGAGAGAGTTGGAGGATAGGTAGTGTTGAAGCTGTCGCTGTACGACCTTCTCCACTACCTTCGCCATGACAGGGAGGATGGAAATAGGACGGTAGTTTGCAGGATTGTTGGGATCACCGGCCTTCAGGATGGGGTGGATTTGGGCATGTTTCCAGGATGCGGGGATGTCATTCATGGATAGGCAGGAGTTCACAACATGCAACTTGCAAGAGAACAGGTCCGATCACACTAAAAGATATCTTAAAAACGCGAATGCAAAGCCCGTCAGAGCCACGAGCAGATGAGTTTCGCATGCTAAAAACAACGTACTTTAAAAATTCAAGACTGACGGGTTGCACGGTAAAACCGCACGAACCGACTCGCTGTAGCCGCACAGGCACTTGCCGAGACGATTCGTGCACACCGGAGTTCAAATCGGAAACAATGTTTGCGCCTACATCGACAAAAAAACTGATTCAGTGTGTCACCACTGACGCGGGGAAAAGAGACATGCGAATCTCGCTTGACACTCACGACACGCCGCAAGTAACGCCACACCGAAGCCGGACCGTCCGCTGCGATTCGCCCCTCAATATCGCTCCGACTGTCCGCCCGCACAGCTGCACGCACCGCTCGGTTAGCGGCTCGGTACTCGTCAGAGCCGTGCCCGCGGCTAGAGAGCGCGGCGGCTCTGCGAGCCATCAGGTCGCGCGTGGCGGCAGACGGGGAGGGGCAGAGGGGTTGCGGATTTTAACCGAGCGAACGGGGGCATGACGGTCGAGCACACCGCGCACGGCGTCAACAAGATAATCCCACTTGTCGGATACGGTGTCTGATAAGTAGACCTGGCTCCAGTCACAACACGACAGGTCAATGTGATAACCGAAGGTTTGTTGTCAATAGTTAAAACACTATTCTTTAGAATTGTGTTTTTCTATTGAAAAACAAATCTGAGTTCCCTGACAATTTGGCAAAAGCTGCCTGAGATCAGTACAACTTGATGCTCTTGAAAACGGCTGGTCCAAAAGTTCTGATTTTTTTCAGGATTTCTAGTGGGCCAGGTGATCTACGTTCTGGTATGGGTCTCCCCTCCGCGGACCATCTGGTGCACGTGCCACGTGACTTTAAAAATTCCCGTGTTAAGCCAATGGGGAAAATGAAAAAATGCGTTCCACGGCAGATTGCTCGAAAACGATCCCAACGACCCCCCATTTTCTTACATGCAGATCAACCACCATTCGGTGCACTACCCATGGGTATGTCGCAAAGTGGCCGGAAAAGTCCAGAACCACGTGCCACGTGCCGTTGAAAATGACCCTGCACACCGGAAATTGGGACTTTTGGTCATTTCGGCGCACCCATGATGCATACTATGGCGTGGGTGACCAAACAATGGGTGTCATCCGGTCGGCAACTGTTTAAGGTGTCGTCCAGTGGGCCAAAGTGGTAGTTTCAAACTTTTGGGATCCACCACTCTGGGGATTCTTTTTGACAATATACTTACGTTTCTTGGCGCAATGTTCATTCCACCCAGCCGGTCGTCAATGCGTTAGATGACCCAAATGACGATTGACCTGAAGGAAGTTGGGGGCGAGGTACACGCACGTGCCATCCGTTTTTTACTCGGGCGCTTTCATCTAGGAGATTTTTGCAGATACGTCAATGCGTTAGATGACCCAAATGACGATTGACCTGAAGGAAGTTGGGGGCGAGGAACACGCACGTGCCATCCGTTTTTTAATCGGGCGCTTTCATCTAGGAGATTTTTGCAGATATCTTTTTGATTTGTGAAAATGACCAGCCTAGCGGTATGCCAGCCGCTGATAAATTATTATCTTGCTGCGGCCGGGCGCTTATTTGCGGTGTTTGCGTTTGGCGGCTGGCGGGCGACTTTTAGTCGTTTTCGGTTAGCAGTTAGCGTCGGTGCGGTGCGGGCGGTTTTATTTTTTCGGCGTTTCGGCGTTTTTTTCTGTGTGGTTTGCGGCGGTCGGGTGATTTTTTGCCGTTTGCGTTGGCTTTTCGGGCGTGCGTTTTACACGTTTTGCGGTGTTTACGTTTTGCGGCGGGCGGGCGTTTTGTGTTTTTTGCGGTGTTTGTCTTTGGCGGCGGGCGGGCGGGCGGGCGGGCGATGCGGGCGGTTTTCTTCTTTTTTTTGCGTCGTTTGCGGTGTTAAATTTGTTTGCGGTTGGCGGGCGGTTTTATTGTTTTGCGGCGTTTTTGCGTTTTTTATTTGCGGTTTGCGGCGGGCGGGCGTTTGTTTATTTTTTGCGACGTTTGCGTTGGCGTTTCGGGCGTGCGTTTTGCGCGTTTTGCGGTGTTTGCGTTTTCCGGCGGGCGGGCGTTTTTCACAATTCAAAGTCCAAACCTTCGGGCCACAGCGCTCCTCGAAAAGCGCTGCCCTCGAGTAATCAGCGATGTCAATGTTACGGAACATACGAGCCTTGGTGACAGTAGGCTTACGTCTAAATGGTGGGATGTCACGATTTAGCCCTCGCCCTGGCAGGGGGGGGGTCGATGCGACCCCCCCTAAGGTTTTTTGAAGATAGCGTAAAAACGGCGGCGCGCAGCGCCGCCAAATTCGGCACAGCCTATGGGGCAACCTTTTTACATATGACCTGAAAATTTCAGGTCCGGGTGACCTTGGGTCAGGTCACCAGGTCAGAAAAACCGGTACAAGGTCATGGTCAAATTTCAATTTTCTTTTTGCACCTGTCCAACTCACAGTTTTGGACTGATTTCCTTCAAACTTTCAGGGTGTGCTAAGTTCACCGAGTTGTATAACATATAGTTCGTTTTTTTTTGAGGTCACTGACCTGAGGTCAGTTAGAGGTCATTACGTCGTAATGTTAAGCCTATGGGAAAATACTAAATTCGGAAAATACTGGAGATATCCGCTTCGTTCTATCACTTTTGTGCTTTGAAACCACAGTACTTAGCAGCAGGTCACTTGGTGCTTCTTTGTTTGGTGTACTTATCCATGGGTCAGGTCAAATGAGGTCAACTGAGGTCAAATAACGTTTTTGCCGATAACGTGGCACATAATGACGCTAGAGCTAAAAAAATGGTATCATTGTGTTCCTGGTGATCAGCCGAATCGAATGATATGCGATGTGATGCAATTTGGTTAACTTGAACTTAATTTATTAGTTTAAGTTTACTTAAAATTTAAGAACAACTTTAAGTACACTTAAGCAAGCTAAAAAGTATATCATTCGACGCGCCTTGACGTGCTGAGTTCACTGGTGCTTTTGTTTTTGCTCTATCTTAATTAGATCAAAAGTTATAAGCGAAAAACTTTTGACCTGTTTTTAGCGAAATTTTTACATTTATACCCCCCAAAACCCCCCTAAATATTGACCTAGAGCAACCAAATTTGCACAGGGGCGAGAACTCCAGAGGGCCCACCTACCCACCAAATTTGGTGTTTCTAGATGCCATAGGAGCCAATCGCGAGGGGGGGGTCGCATCGACCCCCCCCCTGCCAGGCCGTGTTATGAGAAATGCCCTGCCAGGGCGAGGGTTAGAGTGTATGGTATCTCCCGTATGGTATGAGAATACCATACGGCGAAGCAGTCTGACATCCTCAGGTGTTCATTCATACCTTCCCTTCAACAAGCCTGGGGTACCCTTAAATTTATTTTCATTGCCAGTTTTAGGCCATTTATTTTTCACCTATGTAACTGATAACAGAATGGAAGAATGTAGGTACAAATCACAACTTTTTGGTGTCAGCGATCATAAGGCCTTATGAATCTGAAGTGATAACTTAGAACTGAGTTTGAATTAAAATGATAACATATCCAACTCCCTATCATTGGGAGCAGAATCAGCCCCTTCTGAACCGAATACATCCCTCATTCCCTGCTCAGTGCTCAGGCTAGTAGCTACTGCTTATTGGCCCTGACATGCAGATATCATTAGCAAAAAGCAATGTGAAATGAACATGTCCCTTCCCCTTCCGGGCGCCATTCGAGCAGCTGGTTTTGTTAATCTGTTCCATTCCATCCCACTGGTTAACAGGTCATGTGAAAGGTTGAGCGAACCCGCACTGAACTCACTGTTGGCCCGCACCAATGATCATTCTACATCGGCACCCGAGGGTCCACGCTGGTTTCTGAAGGCTGCAATCTACAGGTCTTTGAGGGCTCCACGGTGGCGTTTTGGAGCCCCCATCGCAGGTCCTTAAGTTCCGACGGTAGTCAATGAGGGGTGAGACTAAATGCTTACTCCGAAATCTAAGCTGTGTTGCGGCATTGGCGGTTATGTGCGGCGTGTATGCCGCATGATTAGTAAGCGGCGACCACTAAATTAAAGGTAGTGTGCCACCTTTGAAAGATTTCCCATTTTATTTTTCCTAGGATAAGAAGCTTCTGTTTTTACTGTATGCCTGGCCTATTCAAATACATTAGCCAGAGGGGTGTGGTAATAACTGGTGTAAGCAAATTGACCACGGTCAAAAATGCATTACCAGAATGCACTTAAGCGAACATTTTGGGATGGTCTCGTTCCTAAGTCGGCTAAGAGCTTCGGTCCAGAAAATAAATTTATCGTTGGCATACAGTAAAATACATACCAAACTCGGCCGGTGATAAATTTTCAAGACCTCAGTCCTTACTGATTTTTGAACTCGGCCTTCGGCCTCGTTCAAAAATCCAGTAAGGACCTCGGTCTTGAAAATTTATTTACACCGGCCTCGTTCAGTATTATATATTACCTAATATCGCAAAAAAAAATCAAAAATGGGCCTGGAATAGTGCCTTTTTCGCCTAAAAGTTTTTCGGTTTTTAGATATGTATAACAACTGTAGTGGGCTCACCTGCAAACAGGCGTCGGGCAACAATCGCGAATGCGGCGCACTTGTGACAATAAGCAAAGGTCATTATAGTGTTACGACCATACGACGTACGGGAATGAGTTATCAGCTGTCTAATCGTAGACAACACAATGTCGAGCCTTAAACTGTAAGCCCGTATTGGTATTGTTTCTTTTATTTGGCTGTCGAACATTATTTATGGTTTGAAATATGATTTTATGTAAAATAATTGATATGAAAAAGCCGTCTTATAAGTTATGACCCCATTTCACCACACGCAAGTGGCAGAAATGACAATGATCAGCTGACGCATTTTTCTTGGCCGAAGTCAGAGCGCGCGGCCCGACGCACCACGCGTATTTGGAAATTCCGACCTCGACGAGCATCAGAAGCCACCTAACAGGCGTGTTCGAAACCGCAGGAGATGATGATGAACGGGTTTATCGAAACTTGATTGGATGAGCATATCGGTAATAGCGATTTCAGTGTGTGCATTTATTGTTCATAGTGGTGTGAAATGTGGTTGGGGTACGACCGACAACCCGTCGGGGCGAATTTCGCACTGGGGTACTCAAAATTTGAAGAATTTAAGACGTTTCCATGAGTTTTGAAGGTATGGATAAGTTCTAAAAATCCGGTTCTCCTTATCTGGGCCATTAACTCCATACGGTCCAAGAAAGCTGGCACACTACCTTTAAAAACTTAAACGCTCCAACCTGTTTTCAATGAATAACACTGCATACCAAAAATGCCAATCGCTCTCGTCATAAGATATTTAGATTTAAATAACTAAGTTATCTGCATCATCATTTTGAACCAAATTAATGCTTTCAACTTAGTACTCA